TATTCATACAATAAATAATATGAAATAGTTTTCGGTTTACTTACATATCTTTTTATTTATTATTTAGCTATGAATTTGAATTATTATTGACATATATTCTTTGTTTTACCATAAATTGGTATCTCTGCTTTATCCGGACGCCTGAATTTTTTTGCCTTAGGGAAATTTTTTTGCACGCCTGCGTATAATGTGACAAAACCGTTTATATTTTCGGAACATTATTTTCGTAATTAGTGATTGCCTAATTTTCAACTATAGTATCATTATTATTATAACAAAAATATAAATATTTATTAAATAATTTGAATAAATAAATTTACTTTTCTTTTTAATATATATTTTATTTCATAAAAAATATCATGATCCTTAAGTTGATTGTAATTGCCAATGTTAATTTCATTTAATACAAAATATTATTTTTTTTAACTTTTATAATTATTTATCAACAAAAAAAAATTATTTTTGCTGCCGTTTTATTTCTACATTTATTTATATTTATTAACATAACAATGGTTTATCTCCCCGTTTTTTATGTTTCTTCAATTTTGTCGTTTTTATTATTTATTGTTCTTTTGTAAGAGATTTAAGATAGAGTCTAAGTGCAATTTGAATGAGCCAGGCATTCATCAAAGTCTGTGGGTCAAAAAAATAAATTATTTCTTGTTATTGCGCTACTGGATTATACAAAAGAAGACTATTGTATACCAAATTTATCATATTGTCAGCTACAAATATATACAATAATTGATAATAGGGTATAATTAATTTATATATTACGGAAGAGGCTCTTAATAGAGTTCACATTCCAGGATAATTGGAAAAAAGTAATAGTCCAATGAACAATATACGAATAATATACAATACTGGATATTATTCTGCTTACTGTAAGGATTCTTAAAATAAAGTTTAATTCCAACTAATGGATGTTATAATATGAGTTGATAAATTTCGTATTAAAGTGTGTTAAAATCCTAAAAGTATACCAATTAAAACAACTGCCTAGAAAAATACAAAATAGTAATACTAAAAATTAAAAAATTGGTTACTTCAATATTCAGCCATAACAAACCAAACAAAAAATGGATACCGCGTTTGGACACAATCTATTTGACTTAATAACACGTTGATAATAAGCGCTGTTTAGAGATTTTAAAACTGAACACATCTTTATACGATTTGTGATTATGGGCGACATATAAGCCCATCATTATATGCCGAAAATAAATCAGTAGTCAGCTGAGACGGACGGAGGACAGCTGCGGTTGAAAGCTAGCTAAATTGACCGACTGTATAACAGTCATCTATTTTCCGTTCCTCATGTTTCATATAGCTTCTTTAACGATCCATTTATCGTCACTTGATTAACGTACATAGCTGTTACTTTGTTTAGGTTTCAACATTCTTCGTAGAACTATGAGTGTCGCTTTTTACTTTGAGATTACAGGTTCATTTTAATATGGTACTTAGAATATACTAGGTTCAACAGTTTTTCACGTGCTCAAAAAGAGTAGAAATTTTATAAATACATATATTTTTCATTAAAAAAAATAATTGTTAAAAGTTTATTATACAATGGATCAATCAGTAGATATCCGTTTATTGTCGCTTCTGGATCAATTTGTAGATATTCGTTACTTCTGTAAAACGTTCTCATAAAACGTTTCATATAACTATAATTTATATTACATTCTCGATCGTATAAATTGAAAGAATGGCTCTCGTTGTTGGATAGTGTTGAAGTCAAACGCTATCCAATGATATATTAACAGTTTCAAATTACAATAATCATATAGCAATTATATTCATCATACAACCTATTAATCATCATAGGTTATTATTTAGCACTCATTATCATAGCAATCATACATAATAATCAAACAGCAGAGTTTTATGATACCTGGTACCTAGTAGTAGGTACTACCTACTAGCAAAACAAAACAAGATGCTAGGTGCGTAGTCATAATAGAAAAGAAGCTGCTTCGGAGGTATTTCGGAGGTACCAGTTTGGAAATACTTTTGTGAATCTATAAACCTTTGAGTAAAATTATTTGGACTATTATCAATGATTTGATAAAAGTTTGTCAAAAATTAACTGGTGTGATATTCCAGATAAGCGCTTGAATAAAAAACGAGTACGTATTATCGATTACAAAGTAGTGTTCTTCCACAGTAGGAAAAATATAAAGTTGCTGGTAGGTTATTTGATGATACACATTGACTTGTGTTATCATTACAACAAGATGAGTTTGTCTGATCTGACAAACTCATCTTGATTTGATGAGTTTGTCTGATCGTCTGTGTTTGGAATGACATTTCTATTCACATTCCTCGACTAGGAAGAGAATACTGGTATAAGAGTTCTTGTAATCGTTAAAAGATAAAATACTTTATATACAATTATTTGGTCAACAATCAATATTTCGATGTTAATCAACGTTTGAATAAACGTCGTCACTGGCGCAATATTCCAGATAAATCCCAGAATAAATTTCAGTTTTGTTAAAATTTGTTACAGTACAAAAGATATTTCAATGTCGCAAATGTTTCTAGAGTGTTTTTATATTAGAACAAATATGTGCCTAACAACCGATTAACTTAGTTGATATAAATAAATATGAGGATATTAGATTTGAAATATCACAGAAGTGACTATTATATTTAATAGAAACTAGTAATAAATAGAAACATAAAGAGGTTTTTTTTCGAAAAGTAGTGAACTACAACAACAAAAATTCATTTTTATATTATTTTAATTAATTGAATTTTTGGTTGTGCAAACATAAACAAGTCAAGTACGACTTTGGGTCAGTTGGTTCAGGTGCGCTGACTCTGAGCTTCAAATTTGGCAAGACTCGACTTCGATTCCTGGTACTTGCAGTCTCAAAAAATTATTTACGAATAATTAAATTCAAGAGTTATTTCTAAGATCACTGATGATGGATATTTGACAATACTCTAAAGAACTGTAGGGTCAGCCAAAAATATAATTAATTAAAATATTATAAAAATGAATTTTTATTGTTGTAGTTCACTAGTTTTCGGAAAAAAAACTCTTTATAAATTTAATCTATTATTATATGCATTCATAAATATTCCCTAAATGAAGAGTTTTTCACTTTTTAAATAATTTCTCTTTATGAAGCATTTCCTTTACTTAAATTTACATTTTTTTAAATAAACTAACTTTGAAGTTATCAAAAGAATATAATTAGACTTTCTTTTACTTCGACACGTATTTGCATTGTATTTCATTTGTTAGAAAATTTGGTAATTTTCATCAATTGTAGTATTGAAATTTTGAAACTGATCCAAACAACTGAAAGCCGACCACGTTCTAAGACCGCTTCATCTTCGAACATTCTACCACATAAAAAAAATTCTTTAAGTTAAAGTAGATATTCTGCGCTTTTTCACATAAAAATGCTATAAATGCGAGTACATTTAATTCCAATTATGTATCTCAATGCTTCGTGTCTTGTATTATTATTCACTTAATACACAAGACAATCTATCTACGAAAAGTAAGGATTTGGAGACACATTCATGAATCAATTTAGATTTTGTAAAATATGTGGCAGTTTCAATTTGACGGTCTTCGTGTTTATTTCGGTTAAGCGCGCACATAAGGTCAAGCTCGGTCGATCATTTGAAGATACAATTTTTCTTAAATCCAATTAAATAGTTTACAATGTTAAATTGATTAAAATTATGTTTTAAAATTAATGATTGATTAGTTGGTGTTTTTCTTTTTATAAAATATATATTAACTAAACATTACCAAAAAATACGTGTAAATAATTTAAAATTAAAAAAATGCATTTATTATGAAGATATGCTATAGTCTATAGATATATTTTTGCCATATAATTTTTCCGATATAATTTTAAAAATATATTCTTAATTACACGGTTTTAATATTTTGATGGAATTTCTTCATAAGATATAATAGATAAGCCAACAATTAGAATTTAGGCTTCCAGCAGTGCGAAGCACTGCAAACACAATAGATCTTTTGTGCTAAAGGTTTTACACTAATTAAATTTATTAGTGACTACAATCGACTTATAAACTATAGAATAAAAATATAATAAAAATCTAATAAAATATTAAATTAAGTACAAAAAGAAATTTAATTATACTTTTTATTTTTAACTTTATCAACTGAAATTGTTACTCTATGTCAGGGCTGTTCAAAGCATGGCCCACGGGCGTCATGCGGCCCACGAAAAATATTTTTGGGGTTCACGACTAATATTCATGTTTCTAATCTACAACAATTAGTCAAATTTTTCTTTGCAATATTTTAGTAACATGACGTTATTTTATTTTTGTGGTGTCCCAAATAAATGAATTAAAATTTTTTAAATTATTTGTTATACTGCACGTTCATTTACTTAATTGGTAAAGACTTTAGTATATATTCAAAAAACTTGTGTCCAGTGCCGTAAGTCATTATATTAAAAATAAAATATTTTTCGTATGCCAATAAATGAACGTGGCTCCCCCACCTATTCAGTAATTTGTTTTGGCCCGCGATCTTATCTGGTCTGGACAATCCTACTCTATATTATAGAAAATTATCATATAATTCAAACTGCAATCAGGAATTTAAGGTTTTAGTTCTATTTACAAGATTATAAGTTAAATATGTTTTTTCCCTTAAAGTATTTTTTAAATTAAACTGTAAATTATATCGTTTTAATCCACTATAAAGTAATATAAGACATATAAATCCATCCATAATTATTAAAAATCAGTTAAAAACTATTTATAAGTTTATTATGTTATATAAAATATTATACAATTAATCAAATATCAATTAAAATATAATTTATAGTTTCAGATATTTAAACCAAATATTTTTGCAATAATATTTATATAAAATAACACTTTTTTAATTAAAACAATAAAACAATAAAATTTGGTTAATAATAAATTATTATCAATAAATTAAAATGACAATTCTAAAAAAAATAATACTATATATATATATAATTTGGATTGCGTCATATGGAACTGAAGCTAAACCTAAACTTAATTTTTCTAATGAGATGGAAAATAATAAAAGTTTTGTCAGTGTACCAACTACTATTAAAACACTAGAAAATGACACCGTTCTATTGCCTTGTTATCACAATGGTAAGAATTATTAATATTATTATATTATTATTAGCTCTTTTTATATGTTTTTTTATAAAAAATGGGAAGACTCAACGATATACAGGCATGGGATACGTTCGGATAAAAGAAAATCCAAAATTCTCATTGAGATACCCCGTAGAGATATCAGTCTTTTGGTAGGTTTACTTATAGGTCACTATAAACTAGGAAACCATGCTAGAAAAATAGGTCTCCCTTTCAATCAAACCTGTCGCAGCTGTTGGGAATGCTCTTATCTACAATGTTTTTGCCCAGCTCATGCACGGCTGGGCATGAGCTTAACACTTAAGGAGCCTCCTTTCTTGAGGATCGTGATCAATTACAGGACCTGACACTCAATAGCATTGTAGGCTTATTGTAAGCCAAAGGATCTAGGTGGTGTTAAACCTTGTGTTTTCCTACTTATACGATAACACAATGGGCCAATAGGCCTAAGTAGATCCATTAGGGATCGATGATATAACCTAACCTAAATGTTTTTTAGCATTCTTAAGTTTTTTAGGAATTTAAATAAATAATTCTTTTATATTAATAGAATAATCGTAAATCGAGACGCCATTATTGTTACTTCCAACATGTTTGTAATCTTTCATTTCAGAGGAGTATAGGGTCTTTGGTTTCGTCCATCATAATATTAGTAAAGACTATTAATTTGAAGCTTTTTGAAGGGATAGTTGGACTTGCAATAGTGTTGCAATTACTGCTTAGAGTATTGTTGAAGGCTGTTGTTTCTGTCTTTCTAGAACCAAGTAATTAGAAAATCACATCCATGATTTGTAGAAGATTTGCCACAACAACATAAGACATGGCATAAAAATAATCAAAAATTAGGATTAACAAAGTGCTGTCATAAACCAATCAGTCAATATTTTACATATACTATAATTCTATTTCAATTCACAATATAGAATTGGGAATATCTGATTAATGAATAATATATGATTATATACAAATATAAAAAAATTTACAAATATAGTAACGAATTTCGAGCTTTTTGCGATAAATAAGATACTATTAAATTTATAATAGCACATTCATTACTTTACGTAGGTAGTTTGAATTGATAATAATAGTTTGAAGTAATGATGAATAATGAATAATAGTAATGAAATATGATATCATAGCCACTTGAGAGAGATTTTGAACAAACGAAAAAAACATTTCTAAATACCAACTATGATTACTTATGATATGCGGCAACTAAACCCTACATGAGATGCAGACTTTAAAATTAATGAATTAATTTCGCTTTAATTTTCCTATTAGCCTTGACATTCATGAGGGCATACACCTACTTTAAGCTGGTACCTATTGTACCGACGCTGAAGGTGTAAATTTTCCTTTAACCAAATGAAGACATAATTATATTATTTGGTTCAATATATATTTCTTATCAGCTAAATATGATAAAAAAGTATAAAAAAATCTGATATAATACAACGATTGGAAGAATACATCTGTAAACCATTTTCATAAAAACCCCTCTTCATATATAGATAGAAAAGATAGTTTTCTATTTATATATAGATATATAAAAAACTCGACCTACAATAGTCCCGAAAACTTAATTCCACTTCCAATGTTGGAAGCGCTTCAGAATGTCATCGAAAAGCTGAGAACTGATAAAAGTATTAGAGCACCCACAATTGTTCTTGGATCCCTAAAATACGGAGATGCCTATCTAATGACACAAATTCATAAACTTATTGACTACATATGGGAAGAAATGTTTTAATAATTATTCCAATTTTTATATCTAATTACTCTTAGCCATAATGAAAACGATAAAATATACTGTTATACTAGACTAGTTGGGAATTATTGGTGTTGAATGTATACGAGTAACGCAAAATATTTAAAAATACCCTCCATTAAAGAATTACTCTGTTTGTAAAAGAAATCAATCACAAGAGAAAGTCAATACAGTAAAAATTTCTTTAGTGTGTTGAACTATAAGGAGACTATCTGAGAATAAACATATTTGATCCATTTTTGTGGGGTATCACAGTATGATGAAAATATATGAGGCGAAGTTAATAAAGTGTGAAACAAAAAAAGTTTAGAACCATTAGTTCTTAGAACCAATATACTTATTGACAGAGATTTTATAAATTGATCTCCTATAGTTTATGCTTTAATGGGATATAACAGGTTTTTGGTGGCTGAGAGTGATCTTAAATGAGCGACTATGGTGTGCAACTATACATGAGGCTCTCGAAAATGAAATTCGACAACGGAAATATAGGTGGATTGGACACACGTTACGCAAAAGCACAAATGATGTAGCACATGCGGCTCTAACTTGGAATATGCAAGGCAATAGAATCCGAGAATAGGCTAAGTTTATACAAATAAATATTGTACAGAACATGCCATAATAATAAAAATAAAAAACATTTTGAAATTTTTTTAAATCCTACACGATTAATATTTATATAGTAAATATTAAGTCTAAATAAGAACGTGTATAAAAAGATTAAAATCTATGAACATTTAAAAGAATTTTGTTTAGATTTCTCTTCTTCTCTTCTATAAAGTATTATCAATGCATTATGGATATAAATTTCAATACGAGTAGTACTGCAGATTCATGTGGTCAAAATATTTTGTTTTTTCATCAATTATATTGTAATAATCTTTTATTTAATAATAACTTATATTTTCTTTATAAATAAAAGAATTCACTTCATTCTTTTTTGTAGCTACTTTCTATTTTGTTCGTTGGCATAGAGATGATATATCATTAGTTGATTCAAGGCATCCTGAAACGACAGCATCTAATCGTATACATTTATTTTCGAATGGTAGCTTACAAGTATCCAATGTACGAGAGGAAGATAGTGGTGAATATTATTGTGAAATGATGGCTAATAACACGCATGCAGTACAAGTTCACGCTATTGAAGTACAATCGCCACCCATATTAAAAGCTGAACCTACGGGATTATTGGAATTACCTATTGGTGCTATTTTTGAATTGATTTGTGAAGCAAGAGGTATTCCACATCCTGCTATTACGCTGCTTATGAATGGTAGTAAATTTGATGAATACCATATAAGTAGTCGCCATAGCTTTCTAATAAAAGTATCATCGCGTTATATGACTGGCCCTATTGAATGTTTTGCTACCAATGGTGTTGGAGAACCAGCAACGGCGGGTGTATATCTTAAAGTTTTATGTAAGTACATACATACTATGAATATTTATTGTTTTAATGTACGTATTAGAAAATTAATTATATTTTATAAATTTAAACTCTGTAATGTAGATACTCCAGAAATTTCCAGTAAATCTGATATAGTTTACACAAAAATAAATGCTCGTGCGCAACTTGAGTGCATTGTCGAATCGAATCCACATGCAAATGTTCATTGGTTTCATAATGGTATTCCATTGACTTTTGATTTACGTATAACCCGTCATGATACGGAACTGAAAAATAATGAAAGCTTAAGTTCACCGTTCCTTGTAAGCAGTCATGTTTTAGTAATACGTAAAGTTCGCGATTCTGATATTGGATTATACGAATGTCGAGCTCAAAATAAGATTGGTTTCAAAAGTATCACCATCGATTTGACTGGTAGACCTATGCCATGTGCTTTCAAGATAAATACCGGTGAACAAGGCTCAACGTCACATTTGTTGGTATGGCAAACAGAAAGTCTTTCACCAGTTACAGACTTTAAATTAAAATTTCGTCAAATCACTTCAGGTAAGTGTGCCAAAACATTTTATCTCTCAATTTAACTAATAAAGACTGGTTTTGTTCTAGAAAATAAGACCTTACAAAGAAATCAAAATGTTAAATGGACTGATCTAACTATACCATCCGATATTGCAATAGGTAAGTTATAAAGTTGTGCGCTATATTATTATAAAATATTTTTTAAAACAAACTTATATTCATTTATATTAAAAACTAAATATTTGTCTAAAGAACTTACTTATCCCGCCCGCAAGAAAATAGTACACTTAATAAGAATAAACATAGGTCATTTTTAATTTAGAAATTTATTATTAATTAATCAATTTTGTTCTTCTTTGCATAAGCCGTAAGATATAACTCCGCTTATCGCCTAACAACTATCGCATATCGGATATCCTTTATATAAGCAACTTTCTTTCTTCTGTCAATACAGTAACTTCCAAAATAAGTTAATAGAAAAATCGAGACTTTATGCTTTCGAAATGTGTGTTTTTAGTCAATCAATGTACCAAAACTTGAATGCGGTCAAAATAATGCATCAAATGAGATTTGGGACTTTGATCCATGAGTTATTATTACCCGCAATTTATCCAGTTTAGGTTGGTAGACTTTCTCCACGGATAATACACTAAGGTCATAGTGTAATATTGTAAGTTTTAATAATGATATTATTAAGTCTAAGTTGGTAAACTTTCTTCACGGATAATACACGAAGTTCATAGTGTAATATTGTAAGTTTTAATAATGATATTATTAAGTCTTCTCTTTTTCCTTTTTTACACCGTATAAATTTTAATTTGTACTACACATCTATAGAGCTAGAAAATATCATCTGTGAGGTTAAACGTCCATGCTATGGTGTTCATGAACTCAGATTTAACACAGCCCTTCCAATGGTAATTTTTTCTACGGGTATTAAACAGAAGTTCATACAGTATTATATCTGAGTTGACAACTACGAATAAAACATGAAGATTAAACACTCATTTTGATATCCCTCCTGCATATGATGGACTTGACAGTAACGAAATAGCCGACTTACTTGCAAAGGAGTTAATGCGCTAACTCACTTCATAGGACTAGAAAATTGATTAAAGCCTTTAATACAATAGATGCAAATACTGTTGTTAGTACTTATACTAATTATTAGAGTAGTCAGTGGCTTATATAAAGGATATGCGATAAGCGTTAGGCGATAGGCGGAGTTATATCTTACGGCTTATGCAAAGAAGAACAAAATCGATTAAAGCCTTTAATATAGTAGATGCAAATAGTTAGTACGTATACTTATTGTTAGAGTACTCAGTAAAACATCAATTGCATCATATATAAAGTTACTAACAATCAATATTTTAATAATATGCTTGTAAAATAATTTTAGGTCCAATTTATACTGCATCATATACTCTACGAGGGCTTCAACCTGCCAGCATTTTTGAAGTTATCGTACTAGCCCGTAATCATTTCGGGTGGAGCAGTGATAGTAAAACAATAAGATTCACAACAGGAGGTGAAGGTATGTTTTAAGACTTCATTATTCAACTACTAATAATAGAACATAGAACACTTTAGTTCAATTTACTTTTCAATATACATAATTTAAATTAATACTATTGACATTTTTTTACAGTTGAGTTGCCAAATTATTCCACAGAATCTGAAATGACTGAGGAAACTTTTGATGAAATTAATGAAGTTGAACAAGATTCGCATATATCTTCAGGTTGCTTAGATTTTAGAATTTCTGCTAAGTTATTCTATGTTTTACTCGGATTTATATATATACTAAATAAAACTTTTTTCACTAAATCATAATCATAATGTATTAAAAAATTTCTTTAATAAAAAATTAGTTTATTTTTTTATATTTAACATTTGTTATAATTTTTAATCTTTAGAAGATAATCTCTGGTTTAGTTGGAATAAGCTTATGTTATGAACATAAAATCTGAGTTATTTTAACTTATACGATATATAAATAATCTTTAA